AATATCCCCGACACCAATTAAAAGGATGAGGGGAAGAAGGGTTTCCATGGCACTTCAAACATAGTCCAGACCAACAACTTTTATTGCAAGACCGCACAAGATAGAAAAAACATTTTTCCATGGCACTTCAAACATGTACAGAGGAAAATATGTCAGAAGTAATGCCAATGTATCGTTTTCTTAAAATAACTTGAGCATTGGATTCAACAAAGGCATCCCTGAGGGACTCTATGGTTGTACTGGGAGGCTTGTCACCCTTGCGGCAATGAGAGGATGCCATCTTAGAAGTGATGAGTGTGCTGTTGGTGCACCTTTTTTTTTTTTTTCTTTTGATCAATAGGAGCTTGTTGAGAATATCCAGAAAGGGTATGGCAATCACCAGAGAATCAAATATATCCAGGAATAGAATTTTCAAAAGAATTTAGTTATTACTTCACTTAATTAATTTGGCAATCTTATATGGACAAATTCCCCATTTGATTCGTCTTGTCTTTAACCATTCAAGTTTTTAAGCTTAAGCATAAATGCAATGCAACCCAATGATGCTTACACGTGGATGTAAGCTTACAGGTGGGCTGTACTAAATTTACAGTGGCTTGCCATCTGAATTCGAACCTGACCATCGCAAGTATGACAATAACACACTTGAGTGGGTATTCTCACATTTCAGTACTCAGTTTCTGAAGTAATTGAAGATCTGAATCTAAAGCATTTGATTTCCTCTAATAGATACAAGCTTGATCAACAAAAAGCGAAATGATCTAGAATTCTCGAGTACAACCGAACACCTCAAGGAGCACTAGCTCAATTCTATAGTGCAAGAGCAGCAACCTGGTCATCCTTAAAGAAGTCAATCCATCCAATAAGTGGATTCTAGAGTAAGAAGTCAGAGTGGTTGCAAAAGATAACTTGATAAGACATTGACCAGGTTGCATGAATTCCTATGAAGTACAAGACCAAGCCCAAAACCTAGGTTATAGAAAACAAAGCTAAAGCCACACCAGTTCCAAAGCCCAAGAAAGCAGTTGATTCAACACGATTCATAGTACACAAAACTCCGATGATAAAGACCTAGCTTAAAGAAGTGAAGATGGGGTAAAAAATAATTGTTCTCCAAATCAAATTAGCTCATACCTTTATGGTAAAATAAAGTTATCATCTACTAGTTATTTTGATTCTGAATCAAATCAAACTCAATTGGGTGCAAGCAATGTGTTACCAATAGTTATGCATAAGATGTCATGTACTATTACAACCTATTACAATTAAAAAAAAATAGTTTTTTATTTATTTATATCCCTTCTATAAATGGGTCTGGTTTCTGCATAACTGTTGTTGTAGCCCAGGCGACTACAGCCGCACCTCAAAATCCATCGGATGTTGAAATGAATGATGCAGTTAAGCTCCTGGAATGGACAGCCCAGATCAGATGCTACGAGGAGAGTGAATATGGAGCATTTCCAGGGGCTCCAAATCCTTTTGTTTTCAGGATCTTGATCTTGAAGATCGAGAGAATGGACTTGCACAGCTTGGTCACCAATGCATAAAAACATGGGTTTTTAAGCCGTGGTTTTGGTTGCTTGAAAGAGGGAAGGAAGGATCGAATTCGAAATGAATACATCCGAAGGAACTTAGGGGTAGCGCCAATAAGCAATAAGATGAGGGAAAGTAGACTTAGGTGGTATGGCCATGTGCAACATCGATCTAGAACACTAGTTAGGAGGGTGGTTCAAGTGTAAAGCTCAAAAAGTGCAAGGAGAAGGCCAAAAGGTCATGGATAGAAGTAATGAGAAGAGATCTGGTGACTTATGGTCTGACTAGTATGGCCTTTGATAAAGCCGAATGATCGAACAGGATCCGTGTAGCTGGCCCCAAATAATTAACATACGGGTCGGATGATGATGATGATGATGATGATTGTGGTGGTGGTTGTGGTTGCCTAAATTACAAGTGGTTGCACGAGGGCATATAACATTATACTAAGCATTGTAACTTAGTATATATATAACATCCATTAGTATCAATGTGCATTTGCATCTAACTTGATCAGTAACATGCACAGTTTTCACTTCATCATCATCGTCGTCAAAGCCTTTTCCCAACTAATTGAGGTCGGCTACATTTATCCCGGTCTGCCATTCTGCTCTATTAAGGGTCATACCCTTAGTGAGGCTATAAGTGCCCATATCTTTTCCCACTACTTCCAATCATGTCCTTTTGGGCCTATCCCTTGCCCTTTTTTAGCCTTCCACTTGAACCAACTCATACCTCCTAACATGTGTTGTATGGGGTCTGCGCCACACATGACCAACCCACCGAAGTCTATTCTCTCTCATCTTATCGCCTATTGGTGCGACACCTAAATTTCCTTCATAAACATTTAAATTTAATGTAAAAGATGCAAGATACAGGCAACATTCCTCTATCGTTATCAATGCATGATTGTCAGGTGCCCAACACTTACACCTAAGACATATCAAATGCCATTCCTCAAATTCAATGCCTATAGACCAAATTGTTGTTCACACAGCAAGCGATAAAACTTAAAATAACAATTTTTATATCTAATAGTGCATCACAGCATATTCCTCTAAGTTGATATACCATTGTTGAAGATATCCAATGAAATAAGAACCCTCCCCATTAGCCTTCAATGTCACTCTATCTCAATGCAATTAGGTAGTGAGCAACCTCTAATAAGCTACAGATTTTGGTATATCCTATCATATCGAAAGCATACGTTCTTTCTCTATCAATCATAAGCACGTTATATATCCCCCAATGTAGATGTCTTTCAAGTTTGGCACCCAATCACTTACTCTCTCCTTAATGCCTAAAGATCATATTCCATTGTTTTGTAGTTTGTCTCAACACTGAGAAAGCTTCTACCACAGGATATACGGTGCTTAGGATTATCAAGGTTTTAAAATAACACAAGTCAACTAAGGACTCACCTGAATCCACTTGACCTGAAAGCATGCAGTGTCTTGCTATACAAATTTAAGACTCACAAGAGTTTAATATTATTTTCTGAAAAAAACCCAGACAAGTCGCGTTGATAATATTGGGACAAAGCGTTGTCCCGACCCAACCTTGAGAATCATAAAAGAATGAAATAATGGCATATGCATCACATTGGATACATGAAGGGCTCTGAATTCACGGAGAGAAGTTGCATAATGTTGTGCTACACAGTTAGAAAGCAACATCAAAGTCCATGTGCCTCGGTTATGTATTTTTCAGGTTGAGGTAAATCCCGAGAAACTAGTAAGCCAAATTACAACAACCAAAGGAGAAACCTCCAAGTTTCATTGGCTGCCTTTTCACGTGTAACATTTGTGGTTGAGGTAAATCCCAAGAAACTAGTAAGCCACATTACAACTACCAAAGGAGAAACCTCCAAGTTTCATTGGCTGCCTTTTCATGGGTGACATTTGTTTCTCTCTCAAAATAAGAACACCG